CTGCTTACTGCAGAATGCAGTGCCACTGCAGACAGGTTCCCAAAGGAGTATGAGAAGCAGTCAGTGCATTACCTACCTGACGGCACACCCTTTGCAGTCACCTTCAATATCCCTGAAATTCCACAGTCCTATGGGCTTGCTGTCTAGAAAGGTCTCACCCATGCAGCCAGTGAAGGTGGTGACTCTTACAGCATCTGACTTCTGCAACAGAAAACACAAACCTAATTAGAATTCAACCTGAAGTGATATGCTGGGTCTGAAATAAAAACTGGTATGAAAATAAAAAATACCAGAAGAGTCTTCTTATTATTTTAAATATAAATAGTAATAATTAATCTGAAAAATTCTATTAAACAACTGATCAGCAAAAATGTGAGCTAAACTTTGTATCAGTCAGGGTGGAAAAGCCCATTTATTTGAGACTCTGGGGAAGGCCTAGGCAGAACTATTCCTGGAGAATGAGGAGCTGCCCTGTCTTCCATGACACCGTCAGCTTTCCTGGTTACTCAGAGAGCTGCCCATTCCCACTTGTTCAAGGTCTATCTGGGTTTTTCTTTAAGGCTTCATAGAAAGGACTATACAGACTCTTGTCCACAATACAACAAGCAAAATATTTCTACTGTACTTAATGTTCAAAAGCTTGGAAATTGAGCAGACCGTCCAAGATAAAAGAGCAACTGTGAACTCAGCGAGTGACACCTGTAAAGCTCATGCTAAATTCTGGATGCAGAAAAAAGTGCAGATGGCGCTCATTAAGCTAGGGTCATGTACACCACCTAACCCACTAAACCACGTCCCGATCATCTAGTTCCAAACCCCCTGCCATGGGTAGGGACATCTTCGACTAGCCCAGGTTGCTCAAAGCCTCATCCAGCCTGGCCTTGAACACCTCCAGGGATGGGGCATCCACAGCTTCTCTGGGCAACCTGCTCCAGTGCCTCACCACCCTCACAGAAAAAAACTTCCTCCTAATATCTAATCTAAATCTACCCTCTTTCTTTCAGCTTAAAGCCATTACCCCTTGTCCTGTCACTACACTCCTTGATAAAGAGTGCCTCCCCATCTCTCCTGTAGGCCCTCTTTAAGTAATGGAAGGCTGCCATAAGGTCTCCCCAGAGCCTTCTCTTCTCCAGGCTGAACAACCCTAACACTCTCAGCCTGTCCTTATAGGGGAGGTGCTCCAGCCCTCTGACCATCTTCATGGCCCTCCTCTGGACTGGCTCTAACAGGTCCAAGTCCTTCTTATGTTGGAGACTCCAGAGCTGAACACAGTACTCCAGGTGGGGTCTCACAAGAGCAGAGTAGAGGGGCAGAATCACCTCCCTCGACCTGCTGGTCACACTCCTTTTGATGCAGCCCAGGATATGGTTGGCCTCCTGGGCCGCAAGCGCACATTGCTGGCTCATGTTGAGCTTCTCATCAACAAGCACCGCCAAGTCCTTCTCTTTATAGGGCTGCTCTCAAGTCATTGTCTGCCCAGCCTGTATTTGTGCTTGGGATTGCCTTGAACCCTGTGCAGGATCTTGCACTTGGCTTTGTTGAACTTCAAGCCTGTCCAGGTCCCTCTGGATGGCATCCCTTCCTTCCAGCATGTCCACCACACCACACAGGTTGGTGTAATTGGCAAACTTGCTGAGGGTGCACTCAATCCCACTGTCCCTGTCATTAAAAAGACACTGGTCCCAATACCAACCCCTGAGAAACCATGACCAAGGTAGCAATATTTGACAGTACACAGAGTACTCAGTTCCAAATTATCCTTCTAAAAATACTTAGTTTCATTTAAATTTCACTTCATCAGTATGAGCTGAATGAAAATCTATATATTTAGCTAGTTGAAATAGACAAACACCTGCTGTTTTCCACACAGCAATTACGAATATTTAGATCTTGAAAAGAATATGGAGAAGTGCAACTTGAAAATATTCAAGGAAAAGTATGACTCAGAAGACTTAATGTGCTGGTGATATTTCCCAGGGTAATTGGGAAGGTTTTAATTAGCAACAAATATGAACTTAATGTCACTTCTGAGAAATTAATGACAACTGAGTATCACAGTCTTCTACTCAAGTCAGATGAAAGATTATTTTAAAAACTGAAAATGAGCCTTCTTTTTGAATACCCTGCAAAGATGCATGCAAAAAGGGATGTGGACAAATTCCCAGGACAAATCTAAAGCACTCCAAAACCCAATAATATGAAAAAGCCAATTTCTAAGACAAAGATTTTATCAATGTCACTGATATTTTTAAAAGTCCAAAGAGCTTCATGATTTTAGAACAGAGTCTCAGTTAAGGTCTTCATTTTTTGAGCCTGACAACTGTACTACATGATGACAAAAATTGCCAGAAAAGTAGTTATCATTTATCTTTTAATTCACAGACTGTGCCTGAACAGAGCAAGTTCAATAATGCTTAAAACCCTGACTTGCCTATATATCAGCCATACCAAACCTCACCGTCTTCCTACCTCTACCCTTGTCTTTATTTACCTGGAGGAGAAAAAAAAAAAAAAAAAAAAAAAAAAAAAAGGATGGTTTCCTAAGAAGAAAAAAATGGTGAATTCTCCAGAAAATATCTGGAGAACTCTTATTGAGGTTGAAAATGGCTGTTCTGGCATCAGACTTTTGCAGCATCCATAATTTCTGTGCCTGTTCAGCATCAAACCTCATACTTGATCCTAGAACTGTCTTATGTGCTAAATTGTGCTCACTACCCACCTCTGCCTCAAAGAGGCATCACCATCTTTCTAAAGGAAAAAAGAACATTCAGGGAAGTGTTCAGATTTAAATGTTACTGTGTTCCAGGCCCTTTTGTTTACCCTGAAACATCAAGAGCCCTTGAATCCTTCTGCCTCTAGAGATTCTCTTCCTGTTGGGGCAGCAGGATGTCCAAGGTAAAGCATCCAGCTACCCTGCAGGAATTAGTTGCCTTGGCTAAATGCTGCATCAGTACAGTCAGCCACCAGGCTTCTGATCAGAAGAAGCTAACAGCACAAGCAGAGAAACTCCAGGTTTGTCCACCTACATGTCTAGGCAAATCATAATAATCTTTCAAGAACGCAGGTGTACTATTTGCTGCTAAAGCACCTACTACAACGATGCCAGCATATTAAAGTTTACTGTTTCTACCGTAAGCAGTAACAAAAATTGTCCACATAAATAGCCAGTGGCTATTTACACTAGCACCAGACATGACATTACCTTTATTTTTTCAGTTAAACCACCAACAAACAGCATGGCATTAGCATCTACATCCAGAATGGTATACCCAGGTGGAGAGACAGCACTGAATGTGGCTGGCACAATGCTGGCTTTAGGACCATCCAGAGCTCGCACCGATATTGTTCCATTTTTCCCAGTCCTAGAGATTTTAACAAAATAACTTAAGCATACAGAGTCAGTAGTTAAACCAAACACAGGGAAAGTCTATTTTAGATGGCATCTTTTAATAGAGGTATGTATTTCTGATCTGATTATGTTCCATTTTGATACAAATGAATAGACTGTTATCCTGCATAAGTTAAAGACATGATCACAGAACCCATTTTTCTTTCTCACCTCAATATCCTTTTTGGACAAAATTCACTCTACAGATTAAGTGGAACTTTCATTGACTAAAACAAAGAAGTTACATTTTTAAAATAATTGTGATTAAATTAGTGTTGACTAATTGTCTCTTGATGTAACAAATGATGGAGGCAAGGCTCCACATTAAATTTCTGAATTTCATAAGGCATATTAGATTATAGTTAAACTGAAATGAATGATCATGTGATAAATTACTTCAGTTTGCTTCACTCTGATCCATAGGTTTTGCAGTTTCTGCAGTGGGGCTCTCTGGTTGCTTATCAAACAGGCACAAACCCCATTATGTTTAAGGATGTTACCTCATTGTCCTCTATGAACCATACTAAATATTGATGGTAACAACAACAAAAGAATTTACCATTTGTAACAGTTTCTGCAGCAGTTTGTTTTATAGTCCTTAGGTTATATTAATGTAGTAAGTAGCATGGAAAGAGTTTGCTGACATTTTTACAATAGAAGGAACAGAATGTGGAGAGAGATGATTTCTCCTAGTCTTTCAGGTATATATAAAGGTATTTCAAAGCAAACTGGAATAATTTTGAATTCTTTGCAATAATTTGTTTAATATTACTTTTGCTTACAGCAGGAGGGATAGTGGCTTTCCATGGAAAGCTCACTACTTACACCATAAGTTAGTGTTTCCTCCCAGACAGATAGACTATAATCAACACTGATACTTTCTTATGGAGCCATAATACCATTGTAGAAATAAGCATGGAATGTGACCCAAATCCTGTCATGTGCAGATGAATTATCTAGTATGTTCAGTAATGTGGTGGAGGAGTGGCTGGGAGATGAGGTAGGCAGAGGGAGATCACATACTATGGATTAATGGATAACTTTGGAAATTGCTGCTTTATCTAATTTTTAATAGGATGCTGGATTTCCCATGACCATTGTCATGTTAATTTGGAAATTACTAATATGGATGCCTGATCTTGAACCCTAACTAGCATTGAAACACTCCGCATGGATACCAATATTACATGGAACTTTTCTAACTTAGATGTTTGATAGCAGAAATACACCATTTTAAATAAAACTTACTTTCTTTTTCCACAACAGCTTACAAAGAGTGTATATGTATTAAGAGTGACCACCCACTTTTTAAATAGTGAGTCATATTTTGATGGCTATCTGATTAGAATCTAAAAATTACTCACTACCTGTTTTCAAGCTAGACAAAACATTTTTTTTTTCTCATAAAATTTATTTTATATTTTTATTTGTGAAAAAGGTTTATAGGGAAAGGAAGGAAGCCGACTAAACAGAGGTGATAAAATTCACCAAAAATTTCCATGTGTATCTTTTCTAGGTGAAAAGTTACATATTCAGCCTTCCTTTTTGTCTAACTAGAAAAAAAAAAGATTGGCTTGGGGTATTGAAGTAACAAGCAAAGTAATAGTTAAAAGCATACCTTTCAGGAAGAACTGTAATTTCTGTTAAATAAAGCTTTACTTGAAGAACTTACATTTAGAGCACAGCAAGGAAGACTGCATAACTTAAGCTACTGAATAAGCTAAATGAAGACATTGCTATCCTGTACTTACAGAATTCCTGGATTTGGAAAGTTTACTGGACCAGGGCTTTAGAAGGTGGAAAAAATCCCGTAAGACTATGCATTTTATGTCTAAAAAACACTCTTCAGAAATTCCTTTGGCTCAGAAGCTATTACCCGAAAAACAGAACGAGTTGACAATTTTCTTATGAAATAACATAGAACTGGAAAAAAGCCACTTAAAAAAACAATTAGTTGAGACATTTCAGTTTTGATAAATATTTCCTGAACTGTGAAGCAGGATTGCAAAGTAATTTGGAAGGTTTCTGATCAATGGGGAAGACCTTTGTAGATCTATGCCATTTTGCCTGCTTTGTAGTCAGGGATCTCAAGGCTTTCGATGTGAAAAATATGTATTTGCAAAAAAAACAGTGACATCTGGGGTATGTGAACATGTAGTTGCTCCTAGTGATTTTAACAAAGTGGGCTAATGCCATCCACATTACTCTAAATGATTTTTAAAAAAAATTCCTTCTAATGACAATATTTTACCTTTTATTCCAAAACCAACTGAATGTTAAGACAGGTTTCTATGCAGCATAAATTCCAAATTTTTACTTTATTTTTTTCAGAAGGTTTATTGATGTGAAGCCCTCTGAAGGAAAAAAGCTCTCAATCTAGTAATTGTTGAAAGACAGCTGCTCCAGACTTTTTTTCAAACTGCTTAAGTTTGATACTCTCTGAAAGAAAGTCATTGGCACCTTCAATCTATATTGTGTTGAAATCAAGATTCCAGTTTAAAAACATCCAAGTGCAATAATGCAGAAGTCACTGAGCAGACTGGCACTTTTTAAGGTGTCTAATATGTCACAAATAGCACGGATGTCTTTCATCTTCACACAGATTGAAATGCTAACAATGGAATCTCTTCCATAAATAATTCTCTCTAATTTAGGGAGGGCAATTGAGCTTGAAGAAAGAACTTGGCTAACTTGACAGCAAAAAGACATTGCTACCCTGTGTATGACAAGTCATCAGGTTAGAAGATATTGTTCTAGTGATAGTCAGTTCTTCAAAACAGACGGATTATACAAGAGGTACCAGCACTGTGTGGCTGATCATCTGAAAAATTTACATAATTTCATTCATGCAGGGTTTGCTTTTTAGGAGATGCATGATGTAAATGAGATTACTCTTGCAAGTCATCAACATTAGATTACAAAATACCATGTAGAACCCTCTGTTCCTTGACCCCTTGAGAGCACAGAAAATCTTCATTGGAAAGTATGGCTTACATTTGCCACAGTAGCTTAAGACTGAATTCTTGCTGATCTGGGCTGGATGTATCTACAGTGAACTTGTGATTCAAGCATCCTTTGTCCTCAAAGGAAGGGTGCTCCTTAAACACTGTCATTAACAACTAAAACAAGTGTAATACTTAAATCACACTTGATTAAAACCACAACTAATCAGGTTGTACTCCTAATTGAGGCCTGCTGAAGTCAAGTGACATTCCTTTACTGATCTAGCCAGTCTCAAAAATATTCTATCATCCATTTGACTGTTTCACAAAATTGACATCGCTTGTATGTTGCAAACCTGCTTTAAATCATTTTGTCACATATCATCATGACAGATTTTCCTTAGTTAATTCATACGTTGATTAATTGCAGTTCTTGATGCAAGCCAGATTTGCCTCTATAAGCAGGCAAGTGATATTGGTTAAATTCCTGTACCATCAAAGTATGGGGAATTCCTATAGGAAGTCCTATAGGAATAAACAAATTTTACTTCAAGTCCATAAAAAATATTAAAATATATCCATTATAACCTCTGCATATACAATAAAATGCAAAGTATTAGTGCACTTCAAATAAAAAGGTGATGAAAACTGAAGGTGTCCCTGGAAAACAGAAAAATTTTGTTGTAACACACTGGAAATTTTGGTGCAGATGTTAACTGAACCGAACATCTCTGATCTGTACTCAACAGCCAGCTTTTTCATATTTAGATTTCATTCAGTATGCTTAGTGACCTTGAGAATTTCATAATCTCTGTGCCACCACATCTTCTATTTTGGGATCCTTGATTAAGAGCTGCTATCAACCTTTAAACCTACCATACTATTATTATTGTGTGTCAGTGCCTGTCACCACTGAAATCAATGGAAAAATTCAGCAAGACCAGGATTTCATCTTATGTCCCCATTCTAAGTGAATGCCCTGCTCCAGCTGTTCAGGAAGCCCTGTCAGGTTGCTGAAAAGGTCTGTGGCTGGAACTGAGCAGAAATTCTGAGAAAAAGGTCAGGGGATAAAATGAGTAAACCTCTCTAACAGCTTATAGGGAGTCAGAGGAGAATTATCAAATGTACTAAAATGTTCAAAGCTGAAGGATCTTCAGTAGGGTATGTGATTTATGAAGTCTGCCTTAAGAATGCAACCCCAGTCCCGAGTTCTTCATCTTAATCCCACAAATCCAACTAATGTCTCTGCAATGTAATTCTCCTGAACACTGCTCTGTACTTCAGATTTGTGTAGCTGTAATTGTTCTAAATTGCTCATCCAGCAGTTTGGTCAAAACTAATGGCATGCACACCCTATATATCCAGAACAACCAACTTAATAGGCAATGTGCTTTTGTAGGATGTGTGAATTTTTATACCACGTCCTGGCTCCATATTCTGCTGAAGCAGCTTTCTTGTAAATGAAAGTCTGGCATTACTGTCACAAAGCTATTTTCGTATGTATAATATGAACTGGTGAAGATTTCAACAATTCATATCATACCCTAATTTGTATTTTCTTAGCAATAAGGTGTCATTAAGCCAGCTTCTGGAGATGGTGCAATAATTTTATTTAATTCTATGCTCTGAATGACTGATCTCTGTTATTTCACTAAATTATTTAAACTGGATGCCATTTCATCGTCTGAGAGCTATGGATGCAATCGGAATTAAAGTGCTTTGTTTTCTTTCTCCATTTTTCTCTCATTTTCTGACTATCGTTGCTTCTATGTTTAATACTATGTGAAATTAACTGTAATGATGCAGGAGGAATTACTCAGCTTCATATCAAATTACAATATAGATGATATCTAAATTGCTAAAATCTGTTCAGCTCATATCAAATTACAATATAGATGATGTTATCTAAATTACTAAGATCTGTTCAGAAGTAGAAGATAAAGGATAGAAAGTTATGTAATCCTTATGCTGTAATTACTACACCATATGTCATTTGTTTGCCATTTGAATGGAAAATAAAAGCTTCAACCAACAAATGTGAAATTTGAATATTAGGGTATCGTTATTTCTGAACTTCAAAAGCATTCAACAGCTGATCTCAAATTACAAGCATAGTTTAACTTCCCAGAATAGTTCATCCTTGAGTTTTCATAAACTGTATCTTTTTAAATATCTCAATTTTGAAGAGACATTCTGCCTATGGAAATTGTGTTTTGAGTAAGAATCAAGATACTGATGTAAGACAGACTACTCATTTGCAGTACTGTATCAAGACCAGAAATTCAGAAAGGCCGCTTCTCTTTGAAATTGAAGGAGAAAAGAACAGTAGTTATCTCTTTGAGTGTCAAAACCTGTAATTGATTTTAAAAGGAAGCTAGTTGAAGAAGAGAATCTGTAGAGTGATAGTAAAGAGAAGGGAATATAAGCAGTCATAGATTGTTGATGCTAGAGGGGAAATATGTGGTGAAAATAAATTCTTGACACATAAAATTTACATTTCAATAGAAATTGTACTGTATACACTTTTGGTACTAGTGGACGCGGGTTCAAAAACTTTCATTAAACCAGACTAGAATTTCTCATATTTATGACATCATCTTTTGTTAAAATGTCGATGTTTCAAAGTAGCAAACATTTCCACATAAACCTGAGGTATACCAACTTGAGGACAGTGGATTAAAAACAGAATTTGTTAAATTTAGCCATTTTTTCTTTAGGAAACCAAATATTGGAAGTGAAATATATACTTGCCTAGAGGCTTCAATCCGGTACCAAAACCCATCATCAATGGTCAGATCTGGATACTCTACCCGTCCAACACCAGATCCTACATCCCACAGGAAGCTGACCTTGCCTTTGCGCATCTCTATGGCCAAGAAGTCAGTCTACATGCAAAATATGAAAATAGAAGCAATCTCATACTTTAATTAAGGGAAGTTTGCTGGAATTCTTCATGTTTCAGAAGGTCTAATGAGACATCAGAAACCCATATATAGACAGTAAAGTATGAACACTAATTCTCACAGTGATCTAAAATGAGATTCTCTCTCTCCTGATTTGATGGCTCAAACAAGGAATCTTAAGCCAAAGATGGCAAATGACTTTTGGCAGTGATATGCAGTAAATGGCTGCTACACTTACAAAAATGTTAATATTGTAGCCATCAAGAGAAGGATTTAACGCAGGGTAATGTTGTTTGTAAAACATCCATTGGATGGCAGAAAGATGTCAGGATTCTAGGCTAGCATATGATGCCATCTAGCCTCTTCATTTTATATATAGTTCAAAATGCTAGAAATAGAATACTTCTTCCATTTTCCAAATTATTATTGATTATTCTAGAAGTCTGTCTGCTATGAGGCTCATGGGAAACTGAATCATTCGTCATTATTATGCTTGGAATGGTAGTCTTGACTTAAAATTACAACAAATAGGAGCTTTGACAGATGCAAGATGATTAGCTACTTCATTCCCAAGTGAAAACCCACAACCAACACAAAAATTACCCTGTTTGCACTGTGAATTTTAAAGCTCTGCTGTAGTCCATGTACAAGTCTCCTATTTCATATCTAGTTAAAATAAAAAAAATGTAAAAAAAATGCTAGTCATATTTTAGAAGTCCCTATATTAATACCTGTCCTGGGTTAAGCAGAGACAGAGTTAACTTTTTTTCATAATAGCTAGCAAGAGGCTGTGTTTTGGATTTGCGCTCAGAAAAGTTGATAAGAAAGGAATGTTTTATAATTGTTGCTAGGATACTTCAAGGTCCTTCAGCCTCTTTGCTCTTTGCAGACAGGGCAGGGGCAGCTGGGAGGGCACCGCCCCAGTTACTAGCCCAGGATTTGTTCTTCAGTTACTAGATTGAGAACCAGAGTGACCAATAATCTATTCCATAACATACATGTCATGCCCAGTACATAGGTGAGGACCCCTGGAAGATCGTCCCTTTTTTTTTGTTCCGAGGTGCTTTTGGTTTCAGTTCTCTTCTGGCTCTG